GAGTCTATTAGAGTCAGATAACGTAATGATTCACTGTCTTCACATAGGAAATATAATGAGTGAATTGAATCACATGTTTTACTTAAATATGTGGTGTAATGTGTTTTGGGGCCATTGACCCGCGAACACCATGACTCTTTTGGCAGCTTTTGAACACAACACAAGGGTTAAAAACCTGCTGTTATGTGATTAGGGCGATCTGGCTCTTTAATCTACATTAAACTGTGGCACATTATAACTATATATATATTATTATACTCACAGACGAACACACCATGCAGGTTATTCAAACAGAAAGGTTTGTTTTTGATGATTAGAAAGAGTCTATGTTGTTGTGCTTTGCGGGACAGGCCCGCTTCAGGAGGCGCTGCAGTGTTCAGATCCACCGCCAGGGGGCAGCACTGATCCCACTTTATCTCTGATCTACCCCTGTGTGTGTCTCTGTTTACTCTTCCCTTAGAGCTCTGTTTCTGACACTGATTCACTTTGTTTACACTGTTTACACTCGTCTCTTATTGTCTCCTGCAGACATCCTCTGTGTCGGCGGAGTCAATACCCTGAGGAAAGACCTATGGGTAGTAGGGTTCGTGAAAATGAACTTAAGTGCATATATTTTACTTTTTATGTCGTTGCTTTGCAGATTTTACTGACTAAACAAACTTGATTGTTGACTTGACTGACTGCTGACTATATAATGTTTTTTAATAAGCTTCTCTGTTTAAATCTGTTTTTTAGTTACATTATTGTTTATTACACGAGGTGTGTGGCGCAGTGGGTTGTGCGTTGGAATCAGGGGGTCACAGGTTCAAACCCCACTGCAGTCAGCATGTAGTTGTGTCCCTGAGACACGAATTTATATACAATTATATATTAACTACGCTCTAGTTTTTTGTATGGGAACAAGGCTTCATGATATCCTCCACAACAGCTTTATAAACACTACACAACTGATTTTGACAATTGTAGCCAAGTCTGAAGGTGTAATTTGGTGTTCGAGACTTCACCCCAAAGTGCTCCTGTGGGGATTGTCCACAGTATAGAGTATGTAAGTCGCTTTGGATTAAAGCGTCTAACAAGTGACATGTAATGTGTTAGGGTTCTGTCCTCCAGGCGCTTTGTGGTATTTCTAAAAGACTGTCTGAAGCATGCCAAAAGTGTTTCACTGAATAGCCCTGACACATGTTTGTCTCATTGAATGCTGATGCACTTGCAGGATGTGTCCTTTCTTTTGTATATTAATGGTTGAACAAAAAAGCGTCAGCTAAATGTCATCGTATCTGCAAATACGTGTTTTTTTGTATGTTAAAATACAAACCGTACAAATGGAAGCTAAATATCTCTAAAGTCAATCTGAAGATGGGTGACTGGCTTTCTGCTGCAATGCATCTTGGTAGCTGGAGTTATATCTTATCTAAACATCTGTACACACGCTTGTACCACTTTTTTTAACAGATACAAATGTAATGTGACTTTCACTTCTGCAGCGAGGAGAGGAAGAAGAGCCTTCTTCACATTAAACCGGAATCTTCTCAGAGACACATTTCTTTAACGTTGTCATTAAACTCTTTTCAAATGCTTTATCAAAACTGTTGTTTTTGTTGCAGAATTGTAAACAGTTATTCATGCAGACTGTTACGTTCCCTCCTGGACTAGGGAGGGAAGTAACACCATAAAGTAACCGGGAGAGAGACAAAAGGAGAAGAAACCGATTGCTGAAGCCACGAGGTGATGTTTAAATGAGTCAAAGAAAGTAAAGAGGGCTCACCAGACAATTAGCAAAGTAAGCTAATGTCAAACTAACACAACTTTCTCATCAAACAAAGTGACTAAAGAACGGTACACTGGAGCACATCTCCTAACAATAAACAAAACACAAGTTAAACTAGCAGGCCTCACACAGAGACGAGACACAGGGTGACTGTGGCTGCGAGGGGGTGCGGTCGTCTTTCAACCAGGATGTTGTTGGTTCGATCCCAGCCCGTGCAGCCAACATGTCGATGTATCCTTGGGCAAGATACTGAACCCTGAGTTGCTCCCGATGACCAACGGTGTGTGGATGTTAGGTCCTGGAGTTAGGTACACTGCTCTGTGTGAATGACATGTAAAGCGCTTTGAGGGGTCTTAAAGACTGGATAAAGGGCTACATAAGTACAGTCCATTTACACCTCACATGCAGCCCAGAGGAGAAGGAGAGCGAGCCTTCCTCAGGTCCTTTATGGAGGATTGGGGATTGGGAGCACCTGAGGGAGACACACACACGGCACGTAACACAGACCAAGTTTTTTGTTTCAGGAGTGCCTTGTAAAATCATTGAAATGCCCCTTTAGGGAAATGATGGACACTTTGCACATTAAAACATGTATCAGCGGACGGAGACCCCACTTTAAACCCTTGATGTTAATGTGATCCAGTGTATCCAGAGGTGAAGGGTCACAGAGTGTAAACAGAAGTGAAGCTGCTGTTTTTAGGCTGTCGGTTTTTCCCGCTGCGAGGCGTCTCTGCAGGACTGGAGCTGTCGACGTCGGGCATGGCTCAGGAGGCGTGACCCTGAGTCAGGTCTGACAGGAGGAGGAGCTGAGGGGAGACCTGGTCCATACTCACTGCAACAATTGGTTTGATCCAGTCTTCTTTTCTCTAACTCACTTCACGCAAACCTAAAATAGGATTTATTTTTAACAGATACTTTCAAACATGCAAACCAAAACTGAGGTTGACATAAGTTTGATCGGCCATTTGATGTGGGATTTTGAGAGAATCAAATGCTGGGATTTCAGCTTCTTTGATGTGAACAGTTTCTGGTTTCTTTACTTTTGTATCAGAATCATCGGAATTCCTTTGAGTTGTTCACAAAACATGACTTTTGAGTATGTGGATAATCACTTAATCGATAAGGAAAATATTCGATCGCTGCAGAACAGGCGGAGTGTCAGTTAAATGAGTATCTCTCCAGTATGTGAGTACTTGCATTTCCCACTGGATCTGATCCTGAAATACTCACTGTAACAATTGGTTGTTTGATACAGTGTTATGTTCTTCCAACTCATTTCACTCAAACAAGAGAGTGTTCAAGAGACTTTCCGACATCAAAACCAAAACTGAGTTTGAAATAACGTTCACAAGCATCCTTTAGTTCAACTATAGGCGACTTAATGAGTGATTTTGAGTTCATTTTATAGGAAAAAAGGTAAAATTCTGGGATTTCATTGAGCCTTTTCTAGTTGCTTTACTCATCGAAGTCATCCGAATACTTTGAGTTGTTCATCAAAGAAGACTTTTGAGGACGTGGATAATCACTTTAGTTGATAATGAAAATATTCAATGGCTGCAGAACTGGAGGAGTGTCAGGAAAATGTCACTATTTATCATGAGTATGTGAGTAAATACATTTTCCACTCCTGTTATTTTGGGATCATCTCAACGTTTTTCCCAATGACACCAAACTGGAGATGCTTGTCTTAAAGTCGACCTTTCAAAATAAGAGCAATGTGTTGGGATGTTTCCTCCCTGAGGGATGTTAGCCTGCAGCCCGCCGTCCTGCAGGAAACCCAATGATGAAATTACATGAAATTAAAGGAAATAGCATGCAGGACATTCACCACACACACACACACACACACACACACACACACACGCACACACACACACACAACACACCACACATACACACACGCACACACACACACACACACAAACACACGCACACACACACACACACAAACACACGCACGCACACACACATACACGCACACACACACACACACAATGTGGGATTCAGTGGATGTGTGTCGGGGTGGGGCTCTGTTTTTCTTTTTGTGTCGACTGCGTGTGTGTGTGTCTGTCTGTGTGTGTCTGTCTGTGTGTGTGTGTGTGTGTGTGAGAGAGTCTGGATGGAGAGACGGGGCATCCCACTCACCCTCTGCACGGCCGGAGACACACTGCTGCGCTGCTGTCATGGCAACAGCAGCAGTCACCACCGCCAGCATGGGCCACACACACACACACACACACACACACACACACACACACACACACACACACACACACACACACACACACACACACACACACACACACACACACACACACACACACAACACACACATCCAGGCCTAAATATGTATTCGTGATAAAACTATTATTTGTTTTTATTCTTGAAATTGTAACATTTGCATTTGAAGAAATGATATGGTGGCAGGGTTTAGAAAACAAACAAATAAATAAAATAAATATAAAATAGCAATAACAATCAACAAAGCAGAAAACAGAGGATGTAAAAAAATGAAGAATCATCATAATAAACATTTAGTTTGGCTCTAACCCACATGTATGATTGCCAGCACATGCATCTGAAAAAAGTGTTTCCTGTAAAAGGAAATGGTGTAATGAGGTTTTTTGGCCTATCTTATCATCAGATGTCTTGAAACCGGACATGCTCTGCTCGCTCTGCTCGCTGCTCCGCAGAGCGAGCCTCTGATGTAAATGCTGTATTAACGGGACAGACACACAATGCATTCAAACAGGTGTTGGTGTGATCAGCAGAACATCCGGTGCTGCTCGGACAGAAACACCGAGCCTCTCAAAGCTGCTGTCAGAAAGTAGGTCGGGAGAGGAGCGACGACTGTTTGCAAGCTTTATGTTTTCTTTGTTGTTTAGCGCGAGGACTGTGCCTTTTTCTCTTCCTCTTTACGCACAGGTGGGAGAAACCCGCCCCGCGTGCAGTAGGACAGCCCCCCCCTCTCTCCCCCCTCTCTCTCTCACTCTCTCTCTGGATGTGAGGACATTTCTCAGCGCTGCGGTTCGGGACAGCTCGCTGCTAACAGGTGTTCTGCAAACTGACCCGGTTTGCACAGAAGAACCGGCGCGGAACCGCATCTGCTTTTTTTACGCGCAGGACAGGACAGCACGCGCAAAAGGGGCCAAAAGGGAGGAGATTCAACCAAGTGCTTTTTATTAGCCTGGGCTGTTCAGAGGGGGGGAGAAAGAGAGGGAGAAAGGGAGCGATGGCAACGAAAAAGGCGTGCGTGGATGCGCCCAAAAGGAGCCGGAGTCCGGTGGTTCTGGAGGCGGAGATGTTCGGGGAATTTCAGGACTGGTGTCTCCGGACTTATGGAGACTCCGGGAAAACAAAGACGGTCACCCGGAGGAAATACAACAAGATCATGCAGACTCTGTTGCAGAGCGACGAGTCGGACGGCGTGTACATGGACAACATCAACGCCAAATTCAAATTCTGGGTAAAGTCCAAAGGCTTCACGGTCGGAACCAACGTGTTGGGGGGGGAGAAGAAGAAAGGAGCCCCGGGGAAACCCGTGCTGTACGTCCCGGTCAAGACAACGGTAAAGTGTGTGCGTGTGTCTTTAGTGTGTGTGTGTGGGACTGGATGTCCCGTCGCCGCCTTTATAACTTTGATGATTTTAATGAAAGGTAACTTGGTGTTTTGGTCCCGGCTCGCCTATCTGTATTTTTTTTCTTGCTGGTGCAGCCTCACTTTGTGTCCACATCCCAACATGAGCACTCTCATCCCTGCTGCCATGGCAACGCCGGTGCCTCCTGGCAAATCGCGGTGGTGAAAGGTGTCCTCGCTCTTTCTCTCGCGCCCCCCACCCCCCCTGTAGAGAGGTTAAAGTCCTCTGTGTGCACAGTGTTGACTCTGTATATCATATCATTTTTTATCATCGTGCAGGTCTCGTGCATGCTTGATTGTGGTGATGCATGTGCGCGTTCGTGCGTGCGTGGATGCAAAGGCATGCTGGGCTGCAGGCACTAACTTAGCTTTGATGCTCCAGCATTTCTGACTGTCACATTTTAAATAACATTTTATTTATACAGCCCCCAATATGACAAGTGTCTCAGGGGATTTACATTATCAAATGGATGACAGTCAAATATATGTTTTAATTAATACAAATCCATCAAATCCATTTAAATAAAAATATATTCAAATAAATAAAATATCATAAATTATAATACAATAAAATATATTTAAATGTATTAAAATAGAATTAAATTAAGTTTAATTAAATATATAAAAATAAATTAAAAATACAATTTGTTTAAAAACAATAAAATTAAGTTAAATTAAATATATAAAAATATATTAAATATGCTAAAAGAAAAAATATTTAAATTCGATAAAATAAAGAAAATATATGAAACATTAAGCACGAGCCAGCCCTATTTATAAGCAATTTTTAAGCTTTATTAAAAAATAAAACTCTTAATCTCTGAAATATGGGGAGGGTGTTGCATCCCGAACACAAACTGGGATCTTTCTAACTGAAGGCTCTCATTCTACTTCTGGAGACTCTAAGAACCATGCATCTATTATTACTTATCAAAAATGACACAGCGCATTCATTAGTCTTCCTTTGACAGACCAATCGACGTTAAGACCAGTCGAATATCGGTCTTTGTTTTGCAGAAAATAGTCCCTCTGTGCAGTCTTCGCACTTTTCCTCTCATTGTCCTGGGCTGATGCGGATCGGCACCCGTTGCTCTGGCAACACCTGTGCAGCTGCAGCGTTTCATTGTGCACGTGAAGCCCCATCAAGGACTGCAGGAGAAAACATTTATTTAGGAACAAATATATATCATTATTATAATTTCACCGATGCATTTGTCCCGGTGCGTAATTGGTAAGCACGTGATAGGGGGGGGGGGGGGGGGGGGCGACTCGGAGCTCAGATGTTTCCGGATGAAGGGGTGAGGAAGTCAGGGCGCCCTCCAGTCATCTGATATCCTGCTAGTGATGGACGCAGACACTCATAAATAAAAGCATTGATAAACGACGTATGACAAAGCATTGCAATAATTAAGTAAATGTCAATGTATACATATTTACTAATTTAAACATCAGAATCAGAGACAGGTGTAACACATTCAAGGGATTTGTCTTATGGTGCAGAGTGCAGACATAAACACAGTAAGAGAAGATACATCTCTGAAACAAAACATTTTAAGAAAACTATCACATAAAAAAATATAGCAATATTTACACGATTTACCGGTAAAAATATAATATGTGCAGTATTGGTATGACAAGTGGAAACCCGTGTAGATATAAGAGGTAGCTTTGTGTACAAATACACACAACACGCTTATGTCTACATTTTTGTAGTTTATTAGCCTTTTATAGTCTGAAAAATGTGCAAATATGTACATTATAAATAAATGTAAGGAATAATTATGTGTATTTCTATTAGACACAAAACAGACAGCTTTATTCCGTCTAAGTTTCTGGTTATTTTTTAAGCTTTTTGTGGACGGAAACTCTGAGAAATCACTATTGGGATGTAGTCGAATAGAAATAGACACACTGAACATGTTTTGCAGATTAAGATAAGATAAGTACTTCATTGATCCCAATTTGTGAAATGTTTGTGTTGCAGCATTCAAAGACATTGAACAACACAAATTAAAAGATTAGAAATAAACAAGAAAGTAGAAAATATACATGTTGAATTACACATTTACAGTAACACAATATAAAGCAAGTTATTATACATAAGTATGTGAGGCGGAATATTAACTGAAACTACGAGAGAGTGAGAGTGTGTTTGATGACAGTAATTCTGATTCGAAGATAAACGGAGCATCGCCCCTCTCCAAGTCTCTGTGCCAGAAAACAGACAACCACCATTTTAAATGAGTGCCTTCAGGGAATAACCCCCATCCTGCTGGGACACAGAGTCTCTGGAGCTCCACGGAAAGCTTTGTTTTTAATGTCTGAATGGCACTGATCCTTCCACAGGTGTGTTACCTGTGTGAGAGCAGGGTTTAGATTCAGGCCTTCACTAACCTGCTCTAATCTCCTCCTGAGATTCAGTTTCCTGCAGCAGGAGGGCAGGTGAAGCCCTGCAGGTGCAGCAGGACATGTTCAATAGCTTCTACTTTGACTTTAGACCTCAATATACACCCCTTTGTTTAACTATTCAACATCCTCCAGGTGAGGTTTACAGGGTGGGATAATGGTTAGGAGTTAAGTAATCAGATGCATTTGGTTAGAGTCTTTAAACCATAATTACATTCAGCCTGAACCTCATTTTTCAGGATGCTATTAACTATAAAGAGGCTGTGAATGCAAAAAGTACATTTATCACTAAATCATGATAGGGCTCTATCCTGCTGATGTTCAGGTGTATATCAGTATGTAGTGTCTCTACTTTAAAGAGTCCTCTCCTGATGATGTTCAGGTGTATATCAGTATGTAGTGTCTCTACTTTAAAGAGTCATCTCCTGCTGATGTTCAGGTGTATATCAGTATGTAGTGTCTCTACTTTAAAGAGTCCTCTCCTGCTGATGTTCAGGTGTATATCAGTATGTAGTGTCCTCTGCTTAAAGAGTCCTCTCCTGCTGATGTTCAGGTGTATATCAGTATGTAGTGTCTCTACTTTAAAGAGTCCTCTCCTGCTGATGTTCAGGTGTATATCAGTATGTAGTGTCTCTACTTTAAAGAGTCCTCTCCTGCTGATGTTCAGGTGTATATCAGTATGTAGTGTCTCTACTTTAAAGAGTCCTCTCCTGCTGATGTTCAGGTGTATATCAGTATGTGTAGTGTCTCTACTTTAAAGAGTCCTCTCCTGCTGATGTTCAGGTGTATAGCAGTATGTAGTGTCTCTACTTTAAAGAGTCCCCTCCTGCTGATGTTCAGGTGTATATCAGTATGTAGTGTCTCTACTTTAAAGAGTCCTCTCCTGCTGATGTTCAGGTGTATATCAGTATGTAGTGTCTCTACTTTAAAGAGTCCTCTTCTGCTGATGTTCAGGTGTATATCAGTATGTAGTGTCTCTACTTTAAAGAGTCCTCTCCTGCTGATGTTCAGGTGTATATCAGTATGTAGTGTCTCTACTTTAAAGAGTCCTCTCCTGCTGATGTTCAGGTGTATATCAGTATGTAGGGTCTCTACTTTAAAGAGTCCTCTCCTGCTGATGTTCAGGTGTATATCAGTATGTCGTGTCTCTACTTTAAAGAGTCCTCTCCTGCTGATGTTCAGGTGTATATCATAGCAGTATTGTAGTGTCTCTACTTTAAAGAGTCCCTCTCCTGCTGATGTTCAGGTGTATATCAGTATGTAGGGTCTCTACTTTAAAGAGTCCTCTCCTGCTGATGTTCAGGTGTATATCAGATGTCGTGTCTCTACTTTAAAGAGTCCTCTCCTGCTGATGTTCAGGTGTATATCAGTATGCGGTCTCTACTTTAAAGAGTCCTCTCCTGCTGATGTTCAGGTGTACATCAGTATGTAGTGTCTCTACTTTCTCTACTCGGGCGGACGGCCCGGGGAGCAAAGCAGAGGCCGAGAAGGGGGACACGGGCGGACGGCCCGGAGGAACAGCAACAGAGCAAGGAAGTCCGCGGCGGGGAAACTCAGGTGTGGGGGTGGGGGGCCGAAGACAGGGTTGAAGGCCTCGTCGGGGTAAATTAGGGGGCTGGACTCGAAGGAGAAGGCAGCTGCTGGGAAAGTCAGGGGGCCGGGCTCGAGGGCGAAAGCCGAGGCTGGGGAACTCAGGGGGCCGGGCTCGAGGGCGAAGGCCGCGGCTGGGGAACTCAGGGGGCCGGACTCGAGGGCGAAGGCCGAGGCTGGGGAACTCAGGGGGCCGGGCAGGAAGGCGGCAACGGGACAGCTCCGGAGGAAGGGCAGGGAGACGGCGTAGGCCGCAATGGGGACCCTCCGGGGTCAGCTGGATCGCCGGATCGGGAGCACTGGGAGCTGGAAATGGCGGAACCCCCGGTGGTACAGGAGCCGTCGGGACAGGCACAGACGGGACCCTGGACAGAACTTGGGCTGGTGTCGACTGGACCCCAGATGGAACAAGGGCTGGTGTCGACGGGACCGCCGTCGAAACAGGACAAGGTGTCGGCGGAAGAAGCATCAGCAGGACCCCCAACAGAACTGGACATGGTGTAGGCGGGACCCCCGGCGGGTTAGGATCTGGTGGCAGCGGGACCTCTGACTGAACAGGATTTGGAGCTGGCTGGACCTCCGACGGAACAGGTGTTGGCGGGACCCCCGGCGGGACAGGTGTCGGCGGGACCCCCAACAGGTCAGGGCACGGAGTTGGCAGGACTCCCATCGGAACCCCCAACGGACCAGGACATGGGGTTGGCAGGACCGCCAACAAAACAGGTGTCGACTGGACCCCCAACGGAACAGGACATGGGGTTGGCAGGACCCCTGGCAGAACAGTAGTCGGCGGGACCCCCAACAGGACAGGACACAGAGTTGGCAGGACCCTCAGCAGAACCCCCAACGAAACAGGACAAGGAGTTGGCAGGACCCCCGGCGAGACAGGTGACGGCGGGACCCCCAACGGAACAGGACACAGAGTTGGCAGGACCC